GCAGGTCTTTTGCAGTCAAACGGGGGTTTTGATTTGCCTTTCTAACAATCCTTGTCATCTTAACCTCCGCAGTTCCTGTTAACGTCCATTTCTTAATAACCTGAAAACACTTTGCTATCTTCTTATGGTCTTCATCAGTTCTTTTAGTTTTCAGAGTGCTCATGACTGTTGATTGTTGGGACAAGGTTTCAGGAGTCAGAGTATTTATAAAGCTTTGAAATCTGCATCACCTGGCCTTTCCTAACGATGACTGTGAACAAGCCAGAGCCCTAACAAGCTCATTAAGGTCTGAGACCCTGGGAAAAGTTTTCTGAGAGCTCAAATGTCTTGGGTGCCCAGACTTTTGGATGGTCGTCCTTCCTTTTTCTCACTCTAAAATTGCACAAAATAAAAATAAAACGCTGATCTTGATTAAAATGTTGAAAATCATGTTTCATCTTTAACGTCATGCCTTTTGGAGATCAGCTCTTCTACTTGCTTAACTATTTACAGTAAAAAAAAATAATAAAAAAAAAGTGACCGGGGGTGCCCACACTTTTGCGTGCAACTGTAGTTCAGAACCGAAGTGTCCAGAACTGAGTCCACAGCCCAGCAGGGGGAGCTGCAGGCCCTCACTCACTGTTCATTAAACTGGTTTTGTGCTCTGAGGCACTAGAGTTCAGTTCTTCACGATTCACTCTTCGTTCAGTTCAGACTCAAGTTTAGAGTCAGAAAAGTTTCCGACCGTTTGATTTAACCGAATGACTCTGACGTTCACTCAGACTTTATTATAAATTAATATAAATCTGTGTGTCAGCAAAGTTTATACACAGCAGCAGCAGCAGCAGCAGTAGTAGTAATAGTAGTATATGAGTGGGCCTACATGAGAGAATGACATCACACAGAATAATAAACATCACTGATGACGAGACAAAAACAAACTGATGAGGAAGAAGAGCAAAGAATGAGGAGGAGAGATAACACAGACACAACTCACAATAAACACACTTATACACACACTTATGCACATACAGCAATAGACACACACAGCATGATAGTGTTTGTAATAAAATGGTCTCACCTTCTCTCTTCAGCGGCATGTCGTCTCTCTGATCCACAGAAATCCTCTTTAGGGATTTTACAAATGCACACGGCATGCTGGGTAATGAAGTCCTAATCCCTGCTGTCCCATCAGCCCTCCGTGACACAGATATGCACCGTCCAGTCAGCTCGGCTTACACAGCACGTTTCACACATGACGACACACAGCACACTATGATTTACATGATCGTGACTTTTAATAATAAAACACATACAGAACTATTACCTCTGTGGCCCCGCCCCCTCCTGCTGTCACTCCACATGATTGGACGTCACTGTCAGTCACAGCTTCATTGACAGCTCTCTGAATTATTATTGATGTTTTCTGATGTTTTTAACTGACAAACACATGAATCAATATTTTAATTATTCAGTTTTATGAGTGACTTCAACAGTTAAAGAGCCTTTAAAGTGAATCTGAAGGGAAACAAACCATAATCAGAACTGAAAGCTGTAGGCCTGTTTGAATTTAAAATGTTAAAATACAACTTTCTGTTCTCAGTTGAAAGTGTCTCTTTATTAAAAACAGCAGAGAGCAGCATGTTAGTTTGCCTGTAGCGCCTCCCTGAGGAGCAAACATCAAAGTGCAGCAGGAGAAGATGATCACACAGAATCTGATTCATTTCATTCACATTCATTGTTTAGTTTCACCTGAGACTCACAGATATATATTTATTAAGGTTATTATTTTATTTTAAACGCGTTTAATATAAGTGCTGGGTTGGACCCTCTTTTTAATTCTAGGTGTCACAGATTCAACAAGGTGCTGGAAACATTCCTCAGAGATGTTGGTCCATATTGACATGATGACATCACACAGTTGCTGCAAATTTGTCGGCTGCACATCCATGATGAGAATCTCCCATTCCAGCACATCCCAAAGGTGCTCTATTGGACTGAGATCTGGTGACTGTGGAGGCCATTGGAGTACAGTGAACTCATTGTCATGTTTGAGATGATGTGAGCTTTGTGACATGGTGCGTTATCCTGCTGGAAGTAGCCATCAGAAGATGGGTACACTGTGGTCATAAAGGGATGGACACGCTCAGCAACAATACTCAGGTAGGCTGTGGTGTTTAAACCATGCTCAGTTGGTACTAAGAAAATCTCCCCCACACCATTACACCACCAGCAGCAGCCTGAAGCGTTGATACAAGGCAGGATGGATCCATGCTTCCATCTGAATGTGGTTTTTCCAATCTTCTATTGTCCAGTTTTGGTGAGAAAACCCGTGTGAATTGTAGCCTCAGTTTCTTGTTGTTAGCTGACAGGAGTGGCACCTGGTGTGATCTTCTGCTGCTGTAGCCCATCTGCTTCAAGGTTGGACAAAGTGTTGTTGCTTCAGAGGTGGTCTTCATTTTGGCTCACTGGATATTTTCTCTTTTTGGGACCATCCTCTGTAAACCCTATAGTGATGGCCAAATGAGGACTCATGAACCACTGTCTATTCTCTGAAGCCACTAGATGGCGCTGTCTGTTCAAGAAAGGTTTGAAAGCACATTTCATTGCCAGTCCTTCAGCCTTTATATATAAGGCCCGTTTCCACTGAAGAGGTTCCTGGTACTATTTGGGGGGCAGGAACTACTACAGGAACGTCCTCTCGCTCGGCCCTCTCAACCGCCGTGTCTCCACTGAGAGAGCAGAGTACAACGAAAGTTTCTGTAAAGTTACAGGCTCTGGATGTGACGTAATTGTTGCGCGACCATTTTGACCGGGGCGACATAGGGACTTTGTTAGCCGATAGCAGTGTCTGTAATAAATCACTAAATGGCCCGTGAAAAAAATATCTTTTCCAGCGGATGTCTTAGTTACAACATGACTGAGCTAACTGGAGTAGTTTCATGTCATATCCGACAACGGGAGGCTTTTAACAGATGACGTCCTGATGTTAGCTTTGCTGCTGCTGTTAGCTGTCCCTGTCAGCTGATGCTTTCTAGACATCGTGATTTCCCAAAACTGAATAAATACCACACATAACAACACAAAACTGCTTTGCTAGCTCAATCATGTTGTAACTAAGATATACGCTGGAAAGAATATTTTTTTCACGGGCCATTTAGTGAGTTTTTTTTTACATGGCGGTGGAAGCTAGGATATGAACGAGCTAACCCTCGTCTGCTGAGTTTTAAAAATGCCTGCTATTTTGTCGCTTTCTGTTGTCGCCAAGTAATCCCCAAGCCCCAGCCAGGAGTCTTTCAGGGCCGTTCTGAGTACCTACTCCAAGGCAGGGACTTGTTTAGCCCCTGTAAAAGTTCCGGAACTCTGTCCTTTGGGGGTGGTTCCTGCAGTGGAGACACGCACCAACGGCCCTGGCCCCGTAAAATTACCCCGAAGTTCCTGGTACTATTTGGGGGGCAGGAACTTTACAGGAACGTCTTCTCGCTCGGCCCTCTCAACCGCCATGTCTCCACTGAGAGAGCGGATTAGGAGGAAGGTTCCTGTAAAGTTACCGGGCTCTGGATGTGACGTAATCGTTGCTCGACGCAGCAAAGAAACAAACAAAGAACAACAACAACAAAGAAGAAGAAGTACGAAGAAGAAAGCAGACATAAGAAAGACGATTATCAACCTGGAAGGAGCTGAGGTGGTTGCTGGGTTTCTGGCGTGTCTCTTTGTTTACATGACGGTGGAAGCTATGAACGAGAGTCTGCTGAGTTTTAAAAATGCCGGCTACTTTGTCGCTTTCTGTTGATGTCACATCCCTCCTTGAGTATATCCAATCAGCACCAAGTAATCCCCAAGCCCTACCCAGGAGTTTTTCGGGGCCGTTCTGAGTACCTACTCCAAGGCAGGGACTTGTTTAGCCCCTGTAAAAGTTCCAGAACTCTGTCCTTCGGGGGTGGTTCCTGCAGTGGAGACACGCACCAACGGACCCGGCCCTGAAAAATTACCCCAAAGTTCCTGTGGTGGAAACAGGCCTTATCTTTAAACCAAGAGCGCCATCTGGCGGGGTCAGAAAATAAAAAAAAGTGGTTCATGAGGCTTCATTTGGCCATCACTGATTAGTAGTAGTGTAGTAGTATACAGCAGTATTCACCAGCTCCAGTTTTTAGTCCTCTAAAATTGTTAATTTAATATGTCTCCTCCTTCGGAACTGCATCAACCTCAACATCTGAAAACATGACTCAGAAATAAATAACTAACAACAACGTGAACATGTAAAGTTCAGTTAGTTGAAATACAAGTCAACAAAGTGGGTCAAAAACTAAATGCAAGGCACAACTGGTGAGCTGCTGACATCTTAGAGCAACATATTCATAATTGATCAGTCTGAAGAAAATCAATAACCTACTTAAGGATTATCAACACTGAGTGATCCCTCAGTTTTACCTCTCAGGATGACTTTTTGTTTTCTGCTTAAATTCGCAACAAGGCTGTAAATACAGGTGTGAAACTACAGGTGGAGTATAAACTCGGGTGTTTCCTCGTGTTTTAACACACTGTGGGGTTTGGTTGGTGGAGTTTGTTGGAGGACACGAGCAGATGCCAGGGAGTTACTGTCGCCTGTGAATCTGAACTCAGGGCTAAATACCCATGTCAGACAGGGGCTTTCTGCGGCGCTGCAAGACACATAAAGTCAACTGTCTCCGGTCAGAACTCAGGTGGACACACTCACAGTGTGTGTCAGCACGTGCAGTCGGTGATTGGTAATCAATAACTCGTTAGTTATGATGGTTTAATCGTTTATATTCAGCAGTGATCGTGTTTCCAGTCAGGCACCGCTCAGGACGCCTCTCTCCTCGGCCTTTCTCCCGCCTCTCCCCGAGCTGCGACCAATCAGACAACCGCTTCGAGACAAGCAGTCGTCTGATTGGTCACAGCTTGGGAGAGGCAGGAACCCAACTCAGCTCGCTATTGGTGGGTTCCATCGTCACTCACGTGCCCCCCCCACGACTGGCGTATAAAGTCGCGGGCTTGGATTTTGGAGCACGGGGGGAAGAAAGTAGCAGCTAGCAGTTTGTCACGGCTACAAGCTACAACATCAACCCGCACACACACACGCACTGACACACGCACGGAGAGCTCGGTGGAGGCTCGTTTTCACGCGCACAGCGGATTTGTGGGGGTGTTTCGGGAGTTGTTTTTCTTTAGGGGGTGTGTTTGCTCCACGCTAGCTACTTCCTGCATGTTAGCCAGGCTGGGCTAACGGAGAAGCTAACTGTTTACCAGTGGGTCAGTTTGAATTATTCATGACGGCGCTCCGTGATTGGTGGAGGCAGCGGTAGGGGCGGGGTCAGAGAGGGTTTGTGGATGAAGGAGGGGAGAAGTGGAGTGTTTCTGCAGCACACAGTGAGTATGATTATTGATTATTGATCGATAACTGCTGGGTGTCTGCGGAGCAAGTACTCAGATACTTTACTGAAGTTGAAATACTAATACCATACAGTTAAAATACTCTATTACAAGTTAAAGTACTAATACCATACAGTTAAAATACTCTATTACAAGTTAAAGTACTAATACCATATAGTTAAAATACTCTATCACAAGTTAAAGTACTAAAACCATATAGTTAAAATACTCTATTACAAGTTAAAGTACTAATACCATACAGATAAAATACTCTATTACAAGTTAAAGTACTAATACCATACAGATAAAATACTCTATTACAAGTTAAAGTACTAATACCATATAGTTAAAATACTCTATTACAAGTTAAAGTACTAATACCATATAGATAAAATACTCTATTACAAGTTAAAGTACTAATACCATACAGATAAAATACTCTATTACAAGTGAAAGTACTAATACCATATAGTTAAAATACTTTATTACAAGTTGAAGTACTAATACCATACAGATAAAATACTCTATTACAAGTTAAAGTACTAATTCAACACAATAAAAATACTTTTACAGTAAAAGTCCTGCATTAAAAATGTTGCCGCAGTGAAAGTACTCACCACACTGTAAAAATACTCTTTTAAAAGTTCTGCATGGCGGTCAAACTGACCCCGCCCCTCTCTCTATAGATCACCGTGATTGGCTGATCTATGATGATCAGGATGTCGTTGGACAAAGAGACCATCCTCCCTCATGACGTCAGCCCCACCTTCCCCGCCCCCGTCAGCCTGTCAGAGCAGCCGCCGCTGGCTAAGACCCACCCCCTCCGTCCTAAGAATGGCCTCCAGTTGCCCAGCAACAGCCAGCCCCCCCTCACCTCCACTCCCCCGACTCAGCGCATCGCAAAGAGGCGGTACTCCATGGGCGTCGGCTTCAAGGGACTGGCCAAGCAGCGTCGCCGCGCCAACAGTGACAGCCAGTCAGAGCCCATGTTGCCAACTCACTTCCTGTTGGGCGGGAACATCTTTGACCCGCTTAACCTCAACTCGCTACTGGACGAAGACGTCAACAGGTGAGACGTTTAATTCATGGTCAGATTTGTTTTTTTCTTTGTTACGTGAATATTTAACCCCTCCTCTTCCTCTTCAGGGCGACCAATCAGGAGACACCAAAGTGCTCACCCCTGCCATCGCGGGGCGGGGACCCTGTAGAGATCCTGGTTCCACGTGACATCACCGACCCCCTGAACCTGAAAGGACGGGGCGGGGATGGGCAGGGGGAAGGAGGGGTCCTGCTGTCCCCCCTGAAGTCCAGGAGGAGACACAGAAACAGACACCATGGGGGAGGAGGAGGAGGAGGAGGAGGAGGAGAGAGGGAGGTGGTGCCAGCTCGACTGTTTCCCTCCACAGCTGGACTGACAGGTGAGAACACCTGGATCAGTGCTGACCCCCAGTGGATGCTGCAGGAAACACAACTGTGATGTAATGATAAAACCAGTGTTAATAACATGTTCATAATGTGTCTGCAGTTCCTCTGTTGACCAGAGAGGGCAGCGTTCCACCGTCTCCACTCCCCTGTGAACTCAACACGGCCATCACCTGTCGCGATGACATAGCCCCGCCCCCCATCCTCCCCAGGAGACACACCCACCCTCCACCAGGACACAGCCACAAGCCTGGTAACCAGGGAGACGGTCGCCAACGGAGACGGCGGCGCACCACCTCGATGAGGTCGGCAGACTGCACTGCAAGCACTGGTACCAAGCCCACCAAGGTTCAGCCAACCAAATTCCAAACACCGCTGGTGGGCGGGGCTAGAGCTGGCAGGTGAGTGTTACTGCAGTGCACACTGTTTTCAGATTGAACGTTCCCTTCAAGTGAATTAAAACCCTGTAATCTGATTGGCTGCCTGGTCCCATGACCTCTGTACCGCCCCCTGCAGGTATGGAGGAGCTCAGCCTGGCTCCACTCAGCTGCCAGAGAAGAAGAAGAAGGACAAACACCGCTACCAGTACGGCAACCACAGCCGTTACTATGGTTACCGTGGTTTCTATGGCGACAAGTGGGACGGGGGCATTGGGGCAGAGGAGGACCCGCGACTCCGCCTCCTGGAAGCTGATTGGTTCAGAGACAAAACGGTGCTGGATGTGGGCTGTGGTGCCGGTCACCTGACGCTGGGCGTCGCCCGAAGGTTTAACCCCGCCCACATCTTGGGGGTGGAGCTAGACCAGCAATTGGTCCATGCCGCCAAGCAGAACATCAGGCACTTCCTGTCACATGACCTGGTTGTAGAGGAGAGGAGGAGGAGGAGAGGAAAGCCGGGACCCTCCTCCTCCTCTCCTCCGAGGAAGAGGGAGGGAGGGGGAGGAGAGAGGGAGGAGCAGGTGGAGGAGGTGATGGAGGAGTTGCAGCAGGCTCTGTCTCTCCTCCCCCTCCCCCTGTCATTCAGGGTGAGTCGAGGTCCTCTCTGTGCTCCTCCTCTCCTCCTTCCCTCATCATCATCATCATCATCATCATCATCGTCATCCTCCAGGTTCCCCAACAACATCACCTTCATCCAGGTGAGTGTCACACCTGTTCTGTCACTCCTCTTCACCGTGACATCACCTTGCTGACATCACATGTGTCGCTCCTCCCGCAGGGCGACTACGTGACAGCGCAGGGGGCGTGGCCCGGGCAGGGTCAGTATGACGTCATCATGTGTCTGGGAGTGACTAAATGGGTGCAGCTGCAGTCAGGTGACGGGGGCGTGGCCACACTCTTCAGACGAGCCTATCAGAGCCTGTCGCCGGGCGGATTGTTCATCCTGGAGCCACAACCATGGAGCAGCTACGGCCACAGCAAGAGAGCCTCGGTAAGATATACAGAACATACACTGTAAATATTCACTTGAATAAGAATTAAGGTGCAGAACCATGGAGAAGCTACTGTAGATGTAGACGTAGCAGCCATATTGGAGACGGTAAACAACGGCAAACTGAGGAGCTAAAATAAAAACAAACTTTTGATGAGTCATTTTTATATTTGCTAGCTAGCGCTGTCTGCTTATCATTAAGAACTGCGTTAGAAAAAATGTTCTCTGTTTATGTTCTGTAACGTGTGTTACGATTGGTCCTCGTCTGCATCCAGACGCCATCCTGGGGAAATGAAGGCTAACGTTAGCATGCTAGCTAACGTTGTCAGCTTTGACCCATTGTCTGTTTGATAATCTAAACAAAGAACATGTTTTCTTGCGTTGTCCTTTCTAACGTGATCAGTTGGGAAAGATATTACTGTAAAACTTCAGTTAGTAGCCCGGGCTGTTATTTCCGTTAACCTCTAAATCAGTTCCTTTCACGCAAAACGTGCTCAGCAAAGATCGGGAAATACAATACATTTATTTACAATTTATTTAAACCAGTACAAATTTTACGGTAGTATGGAAGTTTTACGGTATATATTGTTATGTTCAAGGAGTTAATTAACGTTAGCTAGCTAGCTGAAAAGTCGTCTCCTTCCACATTAGTTATAATAAAAGCTCTATTATTGTACTGTAGTGCCGTGCTTGTGTGTAACAGTTGTGTTGTTCCGCAGGAGAGGACGTATCGCACCTTCAGGAGTTTGAGACTGAGACCTGAACAGTTCACCTGCTACCTGACCGACAGTGTGGGCTTCACCTCATACAGACTCATCACACACACAGGTACACACACACACACACACACACACACACACACACACACACACACACACCAGGTGAGCTGCATAGCTGCGCAACAAACAATAATTAAAACACTTAGTTGCAGAAAAAACAAAAACAAACGTGAAACTCTATCAGGAGCTGCGCCTTGTCAACAAAAATCCAAACCTATATGACTGGAGCATATGTGACTTTAATTTGAAAGGACAGACACAGGAAGTGTCCACGCTCAGCAGTCAGACAGGAGTCAGGTTAATTTCCAGGGCTGGTACCTGCGGTTATTCCACAGGCTAGTTAATAACATGTCGGGCAGGAAATCCAAAGTGTGGGATCATTTTGAGAAGGTGAAGAACGAACCCAAGGTGATATGTAAACTCATCTTCATTGGTCGACTACAAACATGACGTATCATCTGAAACATGGAAGGAGCAGAAACACCAGTGTAGGCACTGGAGGACTGTTTCTGTTGCAGAGTTCAAAGGGTAAACTCTCAGTTTTCACTGGTAACGATAGAATAGTGCGTCACCATTTTTTGACGTAACTTAACCTCAGCAGCAGGAAACATCAGTGTGAGGACGAGCAGAGCTACAGAAGCCTCAGAGGGACGGAAGAGTCTTTTCCACAGGAATTATTAATGAAAATAAAATCAGAAATAAGAATGAATGTGTTTTCAGGTAACCAGCGGCCCATCTACCTGTTCCACAAAGGCCCCGCCCACAGGAAGTGATGTGGAGGACATCTGTTTCCATGACAGCGGCCTTGGAAGCTGATTGGTCTTTCTATATTTGACTGTGAGCTGGCAGCTGATTGGCTCAACAGCGGAGCCGGTTTGATGACGTCACATGTGTGAGGGGAATAAACTCACTCTGATTGGACCGCAGGGTTTCTGTGAACGGTTGACACAGGCTCACGACGCCAAAGCAAAGGATTGTGGGTGATTGTGGCCTCCAGTCCTGGACTGTGATTGGACACTGGAGGCTGACAGGAAGTGACACGTCTGTCTGGAACATTTGTTTCTCTGCTTCAGTTTTTTTTTTGGTCAGAATAAAGAGAATTTATCTGTTTGTTGAGACGATGAGTGAATTTTATTTTTACTGGTTTCATCTTTTTTTTTCAATTATATTTAATCTGAATTTTTCACCTTGGTGGGAATACAGAACACAGTCGAGTGAGGGCGCTGTTTTTCCGTCTTTAACATGATGTTTGACTGTAACGGAGAACTCAGCTGCAGACGTCTTACGTCTTTTTAAAACATGAAAAAAAGTTTCTTTAATTGATTATGGGATATTTAAATAAACATTAATTGTTGAGAAAAGACAGGACACAAACTGCAGGTGTGACTCAACAACAATCACCACAAATAATAAAATTCTAAAACCAAGATTCTTCCTGTTGCTGTAGAACGGACATACTCAGAATAATATATGTGTGTGTATATATATAATCCATATAGAACAGGGAGTCTGCAGCTCCTTAGAAAGTCTTAAATTCAATTTTATAAATATAAATCTCAATAGATTAACTAAATGGTGTTGAATGTGAATTTGAGAGGCTTCAGTTGCTACATTTTATTTAATTTATCCATCATTTAATTTCTTTTTGTCAAAGTGAATTGAGCAAATTTCAGATGTTAGAAACCTTTGAACCTTCCACTGAAGCTAACAGTGTTTTTACTTATAGTCACCCTTATCTGTTGGTAAAAGATTAACCAAACTTAATCAAAACATATTCCGTCTGACCTGCAGTGACAGAACATGGAAAAGATTGTCTGAAAATCATTCCTAAATTTGTTCAAAAGTCACCTTGAAAACATCTTAGAAACATTAAATATAAGCATCTAAGAAGAAAACATGCCGCCAAATTGTTTTTAAAGAAAAATAAAATCGCCAAAAATTTTAGGATTTTGTTTGTTTGTTTAAAAAAAAATCTTCAAAAATGTTTAAAGATAAAAAAAAATCAAAAATATTTTGAAGAAGAAAAAAAAAGCCAAAACTTTCTGAAGAAAACATGCATTCCAATTTCAATCAATTCAATTTATACCTAGTTCCTGTAATGTCTACACAAGGGTTGCAAATAATTGATCATTGGTAACATTAATGATCAGTTAATCGATTAATATAATATAATTGATAAAAAAAAAAAATATTTTTTTTCCCCTGTCAAGTCCCACAGCTCCATATTACTTATTCTCGAGATGAAGAAGCCTGGACATTAAACACATTGAAAGTAACGGAATAATGCTTCAATTTCTAATGTCGCTGCCTGCTCCTCTTCCAAAACCCAAGATGGCCGCCTTGTCATAAACTTGTTATATTGCACCTTTTCAATAACATGAAACATGGTTTCAAACTGAGAGCTAGGACATAAAGGAGTCTGCAGATTGTTTAGATTTCAGAGTCAAATCTGTATTTGATCTGTTCAATTCTTAATCAGTCGTTGATTAATCATTACCATCCCTAGTCTTCACAATAAAAGCTCCAGCTGGAGTCTTTTAATGTGAAGCAGCAGCAGCAGGAAATATGTTAGCACTGGCATAAAGCTAATCCAGCTGTGATACATCTGTAGGAGAGTGAAGAGGAAACAGTGTTGCTGAATGGCGGACTCCGCAACCGCCAATGAAACTACTATATATATATATAGGAATAATAACAGATCATTATTATTATTATTATTATTATTGTTATATAATAGTACACTGAAACACTTCTTTTAGTGTGTGTTAATCAGTAGAATGTAATGAGTGTATACTACATACTATAATACTACATACACTTTATAATTAGTCAAATTTTTTGTAAATATGTTTTAATATTTTCAAGTTAAAGCAGGTTTTTAAGTTTCTTTTAATTAAAACAATATACAGAATTAAGAGCAACAATAAGTCTGTTTATAGAAGTTTATTCAACAACATCAGGATAAACACACTTAAATATGAACGTATACAGTAACATTATTATTACGGCTCAGTATCATAAAGATCAGACTGATTTATTGTTTTCAGCTCGTTTTCTGTTAACTCTTCCAAACAAAAAAAAAAAAGCCAAAAACTTTTAAAGGAAAAAAAAAAGATCAAAAATTTTAGCCAAAATAAAAAAAAAATCTGCAATTTTTTTCACCAAAGCAAAATTGACAAAAACCTTTAAAGAAAAACAAAATGGACAAATTTTTAACCCCTTACAGAACTTCCTTCAGTTACTTTTTCTTTAAAAATCAATGGTGATATAAATACAAAATATAACCATTTAAATTTGTATGCCCCACCTGAGCCAAAAAAAAAAAAAAAAGAAAAGTGCCTCCTCAGTGCCTAAAAAATCATCTGACATGGCTCCACCTTTTTTGCACCACCTCAACATATAAGAGTTTTTTTTTTTTTTTTTTTTTTTTTACTGATGCATAGTAAACAAAAATACAGAGATATTTTTGGTTACGTTTCAAAAAGCTTTGGTGCTATTATTAGTAATCCCTTAACTTTCAAATAATTTTCCCTTAACTAGCTTTAAGGTTGTAAAATCAAATGATTTCACCTATTTTGTTTCATCGTGTTACAGCTCTTTCTCCAGATTATGGGAAACGTTGGGATCTTTTTGTGTCGTGGTCGTCTTCATAGTAACGAGTTAAAGAGGTTAATAACAGACTCTTTACACACAGATGATAAACATGATTAGTACAGTAGTAATAGGTCTGATTATTGATTGTTTACTGATTAATAGCTGTCAACAGTTTAGGGGGCGTGGCTTCGTTCACAGCCCCAGCTCCAGCTCCGCCTCATTTCCATGGTAACCGTGATGGTTGGCATGTCCGTCCGCTGCCTCCATGCTGTCGTCCATCAGTCGGGGGAACTCGGCATCGATCTCTTCTCCTCTGACCCCGCCCTCCTCCCCAGCTGCCACGCCTGTGTCCGCAGTTTCCCCGCCCACCTCTCCGGCTGTCACGCCTGCTTCACCTTCAGCCCCGCCCATGTCTGTGATGACCTCGCCCGCCTCTGCAGCAGCTTCGACTCCGTGTCCGTCAAGTCGAGGTGCACTCAGGAGGTCATGAAAGGTCAACATCAGAGCCTGAGGAAGGGGGCGGGGCCAGAGGTAAGAATGTGTTAGACATGGTGTGATGTCACGTGATGTGTTATGATGCCATGTGTGTGACCTCACCCGGTGTCGGCTTTCTGTGCTCTCGGCGCTGTTGTCTCCTGTTTCGGTCTCTCTGTCCCGTTCACCTGCTCTCTCCCCCACTAAAATCAGTTCATTGAGCCACAGACTGCTGGTGGTGTTACTGGGAGACTGGGGTAGCTCCGAGCTCTGACACACACACAAACAAACAAACAAACAAACAAACACACCAGGTGCGGAAGAGTAAAGAGTAAAAAATGTTTATTTTTCTGACATTTAAGACATAAATTCATATAAAACATCATGTTTCATGTAACTGTAAACAATATAATAAATGTTAAAACTAAGTGTTAAATCTAAATCTTGAATTACATCTAAATGTTAAAGTGAAATCTAAATTTAAATGTTATCTAGACGTTAAACCTAAATCTTAATATTGAAAAGATATTCCTAAATGTAGACCTAAAACTAAATGTTGGATCTAAATGTCAAATCTAAATGTTAAATATCAAATCTAAATGTTAAACATAAAACTAAATCTAAATGCTAAATATGAATGAAAAAGATAAATCTAAATATCAAATCTAATCATTAAACCTAAATCTAAATGTTAAGTAAATCTAAATCTGAATGTTATACTTGAATCTAAATGTTAAATCTTAATGTTTGATTTAAATGCTAAACCTCAATCTAAATTTTAAATCTAAGTGTTAATCTAAATGTTGAATCTAAATGTAAACTCTAAATCCAAATGTCAACTAAACCTTAATTTAAATGTTAACTTTGAATGTTTAACATTAATCCCAGTATTAACCCTAAATCTAAATGTTAATTAAATCTAAATTTAAATGGCAAATATAAATGTTTAACCATAACCTAAATGGTAAATCTAAATGTAACATTACAAACACACACTGTCCAACATTCATCGTCACTTAAAATGAAGTCTGATCAGATTAATCAGATTGATCATGTTTTAAATGAAGCTCACCTCCTGGGAGGTGTCCACCTGCTCCACCGCCTGCAGGATATGACATCACACACACAGGATGACATCATAAACACAACATGACTTCAAACATCAACTAGAAAAAATATCTGCTAATTTAATCAAAAAATTGGACCTCTTTAACAACAGAATAAAATGACATCACACAGGTGTGTGTGTGTGTGTGTGTGTGTGTGTGTGTGTGTGTGTGTGTGTGGTACCGTGTTCTCCAGGTTCTGTTGTTCTCGCAGCTGTTGAGCTTCCTGTAAAATCAACCAATCAGAGTCAGTTCTGTGTTTAAAGAGCGTCTGGCTGTAGTTCCTCTGACGTCCACCAGATGCTGCTGTGGTCAAACTAACAGGAAGTCAGGCACCATTCACCAGATTAAAGATAAAGACAGGTCGTCTCAGTGTCATGTTGTAAACAGTGTGTGAGTCAGGTGACCTCTGACCTCTGAACTCTGGCTCGACTCGGAGGAGACTGATGATGATGATGAAGAGGAGGACGAGGAGGATGTTGTCTGCTGGAGGACATCAGGAGGAGGAGAAGGCTGCAGACACAAAGTAATCTTATTATGTTATCAGTGTTTAAATCACTTGTTCTTCACTTAACTTTGTGCTTTAATCTGACATTAACAGAACACAGGTGTTCACAGGTGGCGCTGACCTCACCTGCTCACATCCTGACATGATGACATCAACCTCCAGCTACTGATGAGACTGAGGCCTCATCCACATGGACACAGGTACGTTTAAAACGTAGTCTTTGTCTCTGTGTTTCGTCCTTTGGTCCAAACACAAACTAAGTTTTATGCCACAGAAAACAAACTCTGTTTTCAGCGCTGACATGTCGCCAAAGCTTCAGAGTGTGTGCCATTATCAGCGGTGTGAGGTGTCACAAATGAGATGCCATTTTGTGCAATGACTAAAACAGAGCTGCTCTAACCTGCTTACACAACTGTCTCACTCTGAAGACGTAGAATCTGGCGCTTAAGCAGTGACGTGGGACATCGGACACTGGTGAAAAAGCCGTCCTTTAATGTCGGCATGATAGGCGGCCCGTGCCGTTATAGTTTAACAGTACTTGACGGGACAAGAACAAAAGTTAGGGCAGCAAAAATCCGACTAAGGCAGACGGGAGAGGTGGTGGATGGGTCCAATCACTGACTTTCACCCTGGAGAGCGGTGTTCACTTCCTGTAAGATTCTAAAGACAAACCCTGTTCTTTGTTCCTAAACCCAACCATGTGTTTTAGTTGTTGTACTGACGTAGTGCTTTTATTTTGAAAGAGACTGTATGCAAACTGTACATTTCCTGTGAAAACAGAAGTGTATGTTGAAAGAAGACAATGCATGTAACAGGCTGAAGTTGACACGGCATCCCAGAACGTCAACAACCAACACACCCAGAGTACCTTGGCCGTGTGTCACCGTCCCTGTCATGAGATCCTGTTTCATTCCGCTGAACTCGTTTGCTTCTTTCGTCCAAATCAGATTCAGAATGTTGATGAAAACAGGAAGTGTCAGAGTTTTGAGTCAACATCTCCATGGCCTGTGCAACTGTAAAGTTTCCATGGACGATGACATTTTCCTGCAGTTTACAAGCTGCTACATTTCTGTAAACAATGTTTAATTTCAGTTTCCAGCAGATCTTCCTCTTTTTCCTCCTCGTTTCTGGACACAACATTAAAAACACGAATTGGCGGAAAATCTCATCAATGGCGGGAAAAGATTGAAGCTGGTTCTTCATTCTTGAATTGGACGTCTCTTTGACTGGATGGTGAAAGCATTCAATCACTGCCAGGTTAGGAAACATGTTAGCATGCTCCTTCCTCCACCATCAGACCTCCAAAGGATCCTCCTTGGGTGTCTTGAACTCCATGTAGGCTGCCACCTTTCATGGCTGGAGTCCTCCACGTCGGTCACCAATGTGACCACGGGGTCAAAGGTTACACTTGTGTCACTGACTTTCAAAATAAAAGGAACTGCAGCTTGACGGACCCTGGCCTGAAGTCTGCTGTAGGTTTAATTTTGGGGTTGAGGCAAATTTTACATTAATAGACAACTTTTTCAGTTACAGTTTTGCCAACTTGTCAAAAAAGTGACGAGACGACCTGATGAGAGCCGACAAGAACGAACATCAGACACACACATTAGACTCCACCCCAAGGCGAAACCCCATGATTTAAGAGAGTCCCAAACTGCTACATGTCTTTTACCACTGTAACACTTTACATAACAGATACTTCAAATACTTAAAGAACATTTTCCCGAAAATACTTTTACTGCATCGTCATAAAGAAACTTCAACCACAGTTTTTTATGCAGTGCCAAGTAACACTGCACACACGCCTACCACTACTGGTGTACATGCTGCTGTACTCACTGATGATTGGTCCAGTTGTTGTTGAAGAAAGGGCTGCAGGCTGCCGTGTTCCCATGGCAACTGTACACACAACACAGTGTCACTGACCACTCATATCTGTAACCAATAAACTGATCAGGTGATCAATAAAGAGGATTCTTACAGGTACAGCCTGGTTCTGATGCAGCAGACACACCGTCAGCACAAACTTCCACATCCTGGACAAATGCGGCAACGCACTGGTCTGACTGGTCCCACTAACTGGTCTCACTGGGAGCAGCAGGTCGGTCCCGACGGCTCTGTCTGGCTCTCTCTCTGATTCGTCTCTTTTATAGGAAGTGACTTGTCATCATCTCATCTTTTGTGCCTGCCCCCCTCCTACTGACAGCCGCCCATCAACGAAAAACAACCTGATTTATATATGAGTGTGTGTGTGTGTGTGTGTGTGTGTGGTCATACATTATTTTTAAAACACACTCTCATGGTAACTAAAACAGTGACAGCAGAGAAACAGATAACGATATATAAGTAGTTATAAATAGTTAAAAACACACTATATAAGGACCGAAAGGTTTATTGATTATATGACATATGTACTCATCAGATGAAACATGTCAGGAGTCGTAGCTGTCGATGGAGACGTGAACAAACGTATCACTAACATTTGCTTACAGCTGCATTACTACTTATTTTAGTTTTAAATACTCTAGTACTGGTTTTATCTCCATTATGTGGTGCAGTGTAAAGTAACGTAAAGTGGAAATACTCCAGTAAAAGTACCTCACATGTACTGGAGTAAATGTCCACTACTGACACATACTGTCATCAGATGTTACTGTTCATGGTGTCCACATACTTTTGGCCGTGTCACGTATTCCAGATGTGTTTATCAGAGTCAGATTGATGGAGCTGCGGTGAACCGACACAACCAGCTGACAGTAAACACATTTCACAACCCGCTGGATTTACTGCCACACACACACTAACACACACACACTAACACGAAGGAGAAACCAGAGTCCATTACAACATTTAATATTTTTAAAACAGTGACAGTAAAAGTACAAAAAAAACAAACAGATAATATTCAAATTATCATTATTTAAATGCATTCTGTTTTTAAACTGTGCAGCTAGTTCATGCTTTTATGCTCAAATTTATTTCCTGACAACATAAAACATTAGAATATTTATAAAATTCAAAGTCACACACATAAACAGTGACATAAGAAACATGTAAGCAACAGAGCGGTTAGTGGCACTTTATAAAACAAAGGAGATTTTTAGTCAATGAAGAAAAAAATAGGATTAAAATGCTGTAAAAAGAAATAAGATGATTTCTATTAAGTCCCAGACATGAACCAGAAGGAATAAATCAATGAACCTGATCAGGTGCTGTCAACACATGAAAAATGTAGACTTTATTTAAAACACAGTCGACTGAACTCAGTCAGTCGACGTGATCAAGTAATCTTATTACAGCACATAAAGTTTGATGGTTGATAAAAATGTAAAAGTAGAAGCATTCAGTACATTTTATGTAAACATATAAAGGATAGTTTTTGTTAGTTTTGATTTTTTTTTTAGTTTTTTATTGTCTATTTAGTTTTTGATTTCACTTTAGTTTGAGTTAGTTTACTAGTTTTAGTTTTCTCTTTTGTTTTCACAAAGTTTGATTTTTTAGAAAGTTTGTTGGTTTTAGAAAGTTTTAGTTTTTCAGAAAGTTTAGCTTTTCAGAAAATTCAATGTTTTTGAGAGTTTGTTTTTAAGAAAGTTTTAGTTTTTCATAAAGTTTTAGCTTTTCAAAAAAATTGATTTTCAGAAAGTTTGTTTTTCATGGTTTTAGTTTTTCAGAAAGTTTAAGTCTTTTAGAAAGTTTGTTTTTCAGAAAGTTTAAATTTTTCAGAAAGTTTTAGCTTTTCAAAAAAATTGATTTTCAAAAAGTTTGTTTTTCAGAAAGCTTTAGCTTTTCAAAAAAAATTGATTTTCAGAAAGTTTGTTTTTCATGGTTTTAATTTTTCAGAAAGTTTAAGTCTTTCAGAAAGTTTTTTTTTTCAGAAAGTTTTAGTTTTTCAGAAAGTTTGTTTTTCAGAAAGTTTTAGCTTTTCAAAAAAATTGATTTTCAGAAAGTTTTAGTTTTTCAAAACGTTTCATTTTCAGAAAGTTTGTTTTCCAGAAAGTTTTAGTTTTTCAGAAAGTTTTAGCTTTTCAAAAAAAAATTGATTTTCAAACAGTTTGTTTTCCAGAATGTTTGGGGTTGTAGAAAGTTTGATTGTTCAGAGTTAGTTTTTCAGAAACATTTAGTTTTTCAGGAAATAAGATTTTCAGAAAGCTTCATCTTTTTCAGAAAGTTTTTTTTTTTAGAAAGCTTTACATTACTTTTAGCTTGTCTTCATCAGGGCCGGTATAATGTCTGTATGTAGCTACATACACACAAATTTCACGGTCGGAGAACTGTGTAGGAGTGGCCATAATTTTTAAATCTTTTCAGTTGGGAATCTTTTATCACCACACTTGGAAGAAAATTGGACCCCAGTTTGTTACGTAAAAAAAAAAGTTGAATAGCTTGTTAAAATGACATTTTATTTTCAACAATATTTAAATCATGTTCTTTTTATCTAATTCTACACAACTAGACTGCATGTGAAAGACAATAGGGATTTATTGTGCAGCAACAGCGGCATGGTTCCTCCTCCTTGTCGTCAAGTTCATTTACTTTCTGTAGTTTAATATCCTGAGAGTTGATGGATATTGATGACATCTCCATTTTTTCCTCTGCTGATATTAATTCATACTTCTTTTATCTTAATTTTTTTACCAGACAATATTAGTTTAGTTTCAGTTTACAACAGAATTCACTGTTTATTTTAGTTTACGATAACAACCCTGGTACACGTTAGTTTGTTTCCTCACTGCTGCTCTTAGCCAGATTAGCCGCCACTGCTATGCTAACACTCGCATGCTTCCTGCTAGACTGACGACTGACTGTTTGTTGGCGGCTCTGTTTGTCCACATCGTACCCACTGCTGAAGAAGTCGCGAAGTGGATTCATGTAAACACTTGGTGTTTGTGTTTGTTGTGCTGTCTGATGTTGATGATGTTGTAATGATAATGTGGCCCTTTCCTTGGACACTGTTTCCCTAGCAACGGGTTTGTTGCCATGTGAATGACTAATGGGGCTGAGAAAGCCGAAGCGAAAAGGTCTCTTCCTGCGAGGAGGAGGAGGAGGAGGAAGAGGAGGGGCCATGTTTTCCTCACTGCTAGCATGCTGTGTTGAACCTGGGCTGTTAGCATCTGGGTTAGCCTCAGTGCTAACATCTGAACCTATTTGCTGCTTTTCTATATTAGTGAGTGTATCAGTGCTAGCTCCAGACTCAGGAAGATTTGTTCTGTACTCAGTGGCAGTGGTGGGTTTCATGCTAACCACAGTAGCTTCTATGCTAGCATCACCATTTTCTTCAACACTTAACTCACTGCTGGTGGCTGTGTTAGCATCAGTGCTAGCTCCAGAGCTAACATGCATGCTAGGAAGGCTAGTAGCAGCGGTGGGGTCTGCTTCAATGCTACCATCATCATTAGATTCAGTTGTAGCATCTAAGCTTAAACCTGCTCCAGCATCCTTTACACCGCTATTAGGTTTAGCATCCATGCTAGCTTCAGAGCTGGCAGCTATACTAGCACTGTTAGTTCTGTGATCTCTGGTGGGGTTAGCCTCTCTGCTAACATCAGAGTTAGCATCTGTAGGGAGCTTGTTGTTCTGCGATTCTTCAGACTCCTCCTGACTGATCTCGGAGCTGACGTTTTTCCTGAAACTGGGATCGTAATCAGAGTCTGGACTGAGATCAGAACCGGAGATCGGGATGGTATGAGGATGAAGTGAGTTTTTCCCTGACTCAAGTCCTGGAGATACTGACAAATCAGACTCTTCTGAACTTAAAGGGCCAGGTGAGGTAACTAGATGAGGCGAGGACGAGGAGGAAAGGGCCATCGGGACCTCCTCACTACTGGAGCTGACTTGTGGACTATCGACTCCGGAGAGTCCTGGGCTGAATGGTGTCGAACCCACAACAGATTCCTGACTCTCCTCAGAGCTGTCTGAGATTAGACTAACATTGACCTGAGGGACAGACTTGTCACTCTCCTCGGACACAGTATCCCTTGCCTTGCTCGAGGTCAAAGGTGCTGCATCTGGATCTGGACTGACTGGATCTGCGATAGCACCATTATCTACCTGCGTGGACCTACCAGAAACCTCTTGAATCTCTTCACTGTCTGGATCAGGTGTACTCAAGACAGAGATCGAGCTTGTTGTGGGAACAGTGAGCTGCTCTGTGGAATCTCTTGAACCGGTGCCTTGCTGGAAACTGGGACTGGTGTCCTCCAGGCTCTCATCACTGTCTGGGTCTGAACTGGTCTGGTTTTTGGGATTAGAGCCAACAGATTCTGAACTCTCGTCACTCTCATCAGAGCTCAAACTAAAACCTGTCTGACTGCCAGTAAGGGAATTGAGAGTTGAATCAAGAACCTCACGGTGGCGACCCTTCGAAAGCAGATCTACAAACTCCTGGATGGAGTGAAATACCTTCTGAAGTCTAGAACCAAATCCAAAATCCTTGCTGATGCTACCTTTGCTTAAACCATCCTGGTTGACCTTCTCTGAGCTTGAGCTTGTCGCCTCCTGAGATTCTGGATCAAACATGGTTCTCTCTGGCTGATCGTTTAGCTCTGTGCTGTTATTGAAATCACCAAAAAGTGTCTCAACAGTCTCCTTGCTGTTTGAATCAATAGTCAAGTCATCAGACATGGTGTTGTTTTTGTCGTCAGAGTAATCAGGAGCAGATAGACCTGGCTGACCGTTAACCTCACTGCTTTCTGTGCTGTTGTTAAAATCATTAAACATCTGACTCACAACAGACTCTGTGTCAGTGTTCATAAAATAATGATCAGGAAGAGTCAGTTTCTGGTTCCCATCCGAGGAGATGATGTTGTTAAAACCATCAAGTTGTTCATCAGAGAAGGTAAACATTGGTTGATCGCCCATCATTTCTTCTGATGGCAGGTTCTCCTCTGAGTACTCTTTCCTCATTGGCTGGCTGCTGGAGTGAAGTGCAGCTGGCTGGATAACCTGTTTTCTTGTTTCCTCACTGCTGATGTCATTGCTCTCGCTGCTTGAGCTCTTGTCGTCTGATCTACGAGTAAGCAAACAAACAAAAATAAATAATAAACAAGGGGAAGAAAGACGAGAAAGAAATGGTCTATTGATGGTCCTTACCTTCCTCCTTTGTCCGTCCCGCTCCCTTCTTCCTCAGCAATGATGAAGATGGCGAAGCTCATTGTGGTGTTTGTTTTTGTGTCCTCAACCTCCACGATCACACTGGACGGAGCTTCAGGCCCATTAGGAGTTTTTTTAGGGGAGGCCCCTCCCTTCACATGAAACACACGAGGCGGCTGGAAACAAAGAAGTTTGAGTTGTTTTCAGTCAGCGGTCACACACATGCTCAGCAACTGAATACATAACATATGTTTGTAACAATTTAATATTTTAACTTCACTTCACTGACACAGACCTGTCACACAGAGTCTGGCTCAGATCTGTAGTTGTTTGCAGGCGGCACAGTCACCAGAAGAAAATGTTGACATTGTACGTTTCTGAAGACCAGGGGTATGTTTCTTTTGTATGTTTCATTTGTATCATATCAACGTTTCTACAGTGACGTAGTGTATGAGCTGATTTTGTCATCAGGAGGTGGAGGGAATGGTGGATGGTAAAACACCTAGGAGAGACATCTGCTGACCTGCAGACCACTTTTCAAGACCTAACCCAGTAAACAACAAAACCAGTTGTTCAATAGTGTTTCCAGCGGCATTTATGCCTTCAAACCTGGGAGTTTTATAGCAACATGCCACTGCATTTCCAGTGGTGTCAGTGCCATTAAAACTAGGTGTTTAGTAGTGAAACGTTGAAGCATTTCCAGCTTTGTATGTGCCAACAAACCTGGGTGTTTCTTAGCAATATGTTGCTGTGTTTCCAGTGGCATTCATCCCATTAAACCTGGGTGTTTCATAGCGATGTGTCGCTGCATTCCCAGCAACTTTTGTGCCCTCAAACCTGAGTTCTTTTAATGACACATTGCAGCGTTTTCAGCAGCATTTGTGCCACGAAACCCAGGTGTTTTTCTTAGCAACACATGGCTGAATTTCCAGCGGCATTTGTGCCATGAAACCTGGCTGTTTATAGCAATATGTCACTGCATTTCAAAAGGCATTTGTGCCACCAAACCTGGGTGTTTTTTAGTGACACATGGCTGCATTTCCAGCTGTATATGTGCCACCAAACCTGGGTGTTTTTAGTGACACATTGCTGCATTTCCAGCTGTGTATGTGCCACCAAACCTGGGTATTTTTTAGAAACATGTTGCTGCATTTCCAGCAGCATTTGTGCCACCAAACCTTGGTGTTTTTAGTGACACATGGCTGCATTTCCAGCTGTATATGTGCCACCAAACCTTGGTGTTTTTAGTGACACATGGCTGCATTTCCAGCTGTGTATGTGCCACCAAACCTGAGTGCTTTAAGTGATACATTGCAGCATTTCCAGCAGCGTTTGTGCCATCAAACCTGAGTGTTTTTAGCAATATGTCACTGCATTTCCAGCTGAATTTGTGCCCTCAATCCTTGGTGTTTTTTAGCGACACATGGCTGCATTTCCAGCTGTTTATGTGCCACCAAACCTGGGTGTTTTTTAGCCATATGTCGCTGCGTTTCCAGCGGTGACTGTTCAGGCAAAAGCCAAAATTTGATCTTTTCCTAATCCTAACCACACGTTAACTACAGCAATGTTGGTCTGCAGAAATGTACAATGCTAACATTTCTTCTGGTGATTGAGTCATTGCTCTGTTCTATCTCTGTTGTATCTGACATACATCAGTCACACCTGTGGACTTACCTGCAGATCTTCTTCAGAGGAAGAGACCGACTCAGAATTACTTCCTGAGCTCAGCTGCAGAAAGAGGTTAAAACAGGATCATAATGGGAAACACAGTTTAGTGATCTGAATGATGTGTGAGCAGCTCCTGTTTGGATGTACAGACAACTATCAGCTGGAGGAAACTTCAAAACTAAGTGGATGGACATCAGAGATAATGACAAGTCTGAATAAAATCAACATGTGTTTCTTCACTGAGTGATGAAGAGGAGGAGGAGGAGGAGGGAGAGTTTTCACTGCAGCAGCTGTGTGAGGTTATTTCTGTGTTAAAGTGTTTGTATTTGTAGATGGAATTTACAACACAGAGGGAGCAGGAGGTTTGATTGGCTGCCTGTAGGGATGTGTTGTGTTTAAATATGTAACATGTAATCTATAATGTATTTATATGATCATATATAAATACTTCAGTCAGTCAGTGTGTAGAAACACGAGAAGTAAATCTCTCCTGGCTGAAACTCTGTGGTCGCTGTTTCACCACCAGCTCCGTGTGTGTGTGTGTGTGTGTGTGTGTGTGTGTGTTGTTTCCGGTCTGTTCTAAATCAGTGTGTTGAATGTAAAACACTGTTTATCTGCCTGCCAGAACCACAGGCTGTAAATATAGGCACGCTGACTTCCTGCTGCATGTTTGTCACGTTGACGTCCATCATGTTTTAGAATAAAATAAATGAAGCATGTTGACAGTCAGAAGTGGAGGAAGTACTCTATTACTTTACTGCAGTAATAGTACCAATACAGTGCTACGAAAATACTCGGTTACAAGTCCTGTACTCTGTCTCTGTCCCTCCTCTCTAGTTCCTCAAATCAAACCGTTGTCATTCTCCTTTTGTCCACCAGATGTCCTCAGACTGTCTCCAGTCATTTGGCCTGAAACTAAATGAGGAGTAACGACATGAAGATGAACTTCTTACCGGAGCTGAAGAAATGAAACTGAACAGCAAACAGCTGAGCAGGAACACAGGCTGCACCATCTTGTCCAGGTGACTCCAGGTGTTTCAAGGTGTCTCCAGGTGAGAAAAGTCAGTGTCTTTATTTATGTAGCACCAAATCACAACACGAGTTATCTCAGGACACTTTTTATGTAGAGCAGGTCCAGACCATACTCTTTTGTTTTCCAGGTATCTTGAGGTGTGCTGAGACGAGTGTCTCCAGGTGTTTACAGGTTTTTCCTGCAACGAGATAAAACACATAAAACGCCTTCAATTAAACGCCCAGTCCCTTTTACTAGCTTAGTGTAGCCAGTGTTGGGTAAGGGTTACTTTAAAAGTAATCAAAGTACGTTACTGCCTTACTTTCTAAAAAAGTAACCAGTTATTTTACTGCGTTACTCCCTGAGTAAAGTAACTCAGTTACTTTAAAAGTACTTCCAACTTTACTCCCTGAGAAAAGTAACTCAAGCACTTTTAAAGTACTTTTGAGTATTCTACATTTCCTATTGGGCAATGGACCACAGGGCGCTAAGCCTACATTTTTTTGTCTCCAAAATTAAAGTTATGGACCACTTGCCCTTCACTGAGATCCAGTTCTCCCATCACAGCCGTC